GTTCCAAATGGTGGAGAGCATACAGCTATTTTACTTGTTTACTGTAAGCCTTATACCACTGCAAAGGCGTTGTGGGTCAATGCTTCTTAATAAAATCATATTCCAATCTGAAACGATTTCAATATAATTTGACAAAATTTACATTTACACCAAATTCCGTCACACCTTCCATATTTCATTGAAATTGAAGGTACATCCGTGTTTGGTGCATAAAATATGTGAAATCGGCCGAGAATATATATGGGAGCTATATCCAAATTTTAACCGATTTCTAATTATTTTGTTAAATTTATTATTGTATCCAAATTCCGCCACACATTCTTAATTTCATTGGAATAGAACATACATATGGTGTTTCGTGCACAAAATTCATGAGATCGGCCGAAAAATATATATGGGAGATGTACCCAAACCTCAACCGATTTCAATATAATTTGGCAAATTTATTTTTGTTCCAAATATAGTCACTCATGCCGAATTTCATTGGAATCGGACATACGTATCGTGTTCGGTGCATTAAATATGTGAAATCGGACGAAAATATATATGGGAACTATATCCAAATCTGAACCGATTTCAATATAATTTAACAAATTTATTTTCTGATCAAATCCCGTCACACATTTCAAATTTCATTGAAATCGAACATACACATCGTGTTTAATGCATCAAATACATGAAATCGGGCGAAAATACATATGAGAGCTATATCCAAATCTGAACCGATTTCCATATAAAATGACAAATATATTGCCATTTATTTCAAATTTGGAGAATGTATCTGTAATCGATCAATGGATATGTGCATATAAAATCTAAATTTTTGGGAGGTACCTTTGATTCTGATGCTACATCTCCAGTTCCGAGTGGAATTTCATTTATATATAGCCTATGTTACTTTCAGGAAAATCTGTTCAGCGGTTTTCGAGTCCATAAATTACAAACATACAAGCTAACAAATGTACAAACATTTTCCTCTTTTATAGATTAGGTTCTTTCGTTTACCTTCACAGTAACATTTACTTAGTAAGAAGTTACTGAGAAACATTAAGTTCGGCCAGGCCAAACCTTCAAACCCTCCACCTTTCGATAAAGAAAAAAATTTTTTATACAAGTATCTGAATTCAAACGTGTTCCACTTTAAACTACAAATACCAGTAAGACCGATTAGATACTGCTTTTAAACTTTTCAAAAAAAACCATAAAATTAAGAGGGGGCCATACCAAAACGGGAACCTATATAGGCAATTTTATAATTCAAGGATTGTCATCTACCAAATTTTCTTTACTACCACTTTTGGGTAAATGTGATTAGGATTATCAAATATTAAATATTCACAGTTCTGCCACCGGAGATAAATCCATGGAAAATGTGGCAAAAATCATCAACATACAGAATATCGGGAGGTACCGTTATATGGCGGCTGTACCAAAACGTGGGCCAATATATCTCTTTTTCAACACTAATCATCCTAGACACAATACATATTGTTCTGCCAAATTTTATACGTCAAATAATGTGGGCTGTATCGTGATTTCAACAGACAGACAGACGGACATCGTTAAATCGACTTAGAATTTTATGCTGATTATGAATATTTATACTTTATGGGGCCTACGATGAATATTTATGAGTGTTACAAATGGAATGACAAAGTTAATATACCCTCCTTTTCAAGGTGGAGGGTATTAAAATACGATTTCTTCTCTCTCGAGAAAAAAATGTAAACGAACCATAAACTAAAAAATGTGTTTTTTGTTTTTATACCCTACACCAATTAGTGGTAAGGGTATTAAGTCTTTGTGCATTTGTTTGTAACAGGGATAAAGAAGCGACCCATAGTTACTTCTGAGGATATTCATAGAATCACTTTCTTAGTCGATTTATGCATGTCAGTCCGCCCGTCCATGCATTCTTGTGAACAAAATGCAGGTCGCATTTATTATCCGGTTGAGATGAAATTTTGCAAACAATATTTGTTTGGAAAAAGAGCGAACCCTATTGAAATTGGTGATAACCGGATCAGCTCCCATATATCTTAAACTGATTTCGGGTCAGTTGAAGATATTGACCAAATGGCCAATATAAGCCCTAATGACCTGAATTAAGTCTAGAAGCAAAACATCAAATTTGGAGAAAATCGGTTCAGATATAGCTATAGGTCCCCTATATATGTTTCATCCGATTTGGGGTTTTAAGTCCCTCAAATGTGTAATATGAACTGCACAGCAATGATATTTGGTACCAAATGTCAGATACATCCCAGAAATACCTCTGCCAAATTTTATTAAGATTGGATCAGATTTGTATATAGCTGTCTTATATATCTTCAACAGATTTCGGGCTAATTGTGCGCCAAATGGCCAATATCAGTCCCAATGACTAAATTTTGGTATATTGGACCGAGTTCAGTCTAGAAGCAAGTACATCAAATTTGGAGAAAATCGGTTCAGATATAGCTATAGCTCCCATATACATGTTTCATCCAATTTGGTGTTTAAGTCCCTCATATTCTAATATGCATTCGACAACAATGATATTTGGTACAAGATATCTTATAGAGCTCAGAAAAAAATTTGCCAAATTTTACCGAGAACGACAAAGGTTTGGATATAGCTCCCATATATATCCTTAATCCGATTTCAGGTTTATTGTGCAAATAATGGCTAATATCAGCCAAAGTAGAGTGAATTTCGGGACATACGTTTCCATTTTTTGGAACTCGGCCCGGATATATATTTTTTTAATATAATCCTTCTCGAAGTGATATCATGCACTCTATAGCAATGTTATTTGGTATAAAAGATTAAAATGTCTCCGTCAAATTTAGTGAAAATCGATTCAGAATTGGATATGCCTTCTGTATATTAGTTCCCTCTGAAACCAAACTACTGTTCTAACTGTTCTAAAGCCAAATGTTGATAGTCAACATGTTGGTTTGCGCAGTCGACCCACTCGACTTCGAAAACACATTTCATCGTTTTTCAAGAATTTTACTGATTATTCACGTATTTTTCGATGTCATCACATAATTTGAATTTATCAATTATTATAAAATAATTTTCAACTGACAAATATCCTATAGTTTATGATATTTTAAATATTTTAGAATTGAGTGACGACATGTGCTGATCCGAATTTTCCGAAAATAAAAGGTGAGATCATTTCTTCGTCTGTATTTTCATTAGTCTATAAACGAACAGCATCTTGTAAAACATTTGTAAAATACTAACTGATCCTCAAAACCACATTGGCGGAATCTTAACAGCAGAAATGTTATAATGCAGCTTATTTGCCTTTACATTTTCATTACAAAAAAATATAGACATGGGCAATGGTGTTCCACGGATGCATCGTATTGTAGTTGGAATTGACATCTATATAAACTAAATAGCTCTTCATACGCTCTTAAATTATTTATTTTTATCCTTACTTACGTTTTCTTTATCCATTATTGTTAATAAATATGTTATAAATATGTTATAGGGTAAAGTTACCAGTAGTCGGCACTTTTAGGATTTTCTGAGTGAAATCTTTCAATTGCTAAAAAATAATGTTGTCCAGATTACAAATTTTTTCGAATTGTCTATATATGTCCACGATATCGTATAGCCCCCATATAACGGTACCGCCGATATTTGGCATTTTGATGATTTTATCCACATTTTTCAATGGAATGGTCTGAAATTCCACAAAAGGAGTCCCTTGTGGGTACTTTATACCTCGACAGAGAAATATCTATATAGGTCCACGATATCGTATCGATACCCCGCGATATTCGCTATTTTGATGATTTTAGCCACATTTACCTATCGTATTGTCTGAAAATCCACCCACGGAGTTCTTTGTGATCACTTTACCCCTAAAACGGAATTGTCTATATAGGTCCACAATATCGTATATCCCCCATATAACGGTACTCCCCTATATTCGGTATTTTGATAATTTTAGCCACTTTTTACAATGGAATTATCTGAAAATCCACACAAGGAGTTCCTGAGTACATTACACGCAGACATAGATTTGTCTTTATAGGTTCACAATATCGTATATCCCCCCATATCGGCACCTTCCTATATTAGATATTTCAAAGATTTTAAAAGAATTTTTAATGGATTTTATTTTTTTTTTTTGAAAATTTTCTAATTCGTTCCAAATGGTGGAGGGTATTCAAGGTTCGGCCCGGTCGAACTTACTGCTTTTTTACTTGTTTCTTTACAAACAAGCACTATCGCATGCGTTGGAAGACACTCACTGACGAAAACCGTTATTCGCTCGTAATAAATGATCGGAGGTCATTGTTTTTTTTTTACAGAAAGAGAGCAGAGAACACTGTTGACGTTTGTTTGCAATTATTTCATTATATGGTCAATTCTATTCTTAGTTATTTAATTTTAAATTTCAAAACTGCCGACTACTGGGACATGTCGAACTTAGGCACACTTACCCTATATATGTATGGAAATATGTTTGTTTGACTCCTATTTTTTGCTGAAACAACTAATTTATTTTATATAATTATTACCAATAATTTTATAATACCATAACTTTTACATTTAAAATTTGTTAAGTTTTATTTTTCAGAAAAAAGTTTGACAGAAAAAAAGTATAACCCATGGCAGAAGAATACAGGTAGATGTATCAACGCTTGAGAGCATAAATATGTCAAAAAAATAAATGTTTTTTAAATATAAGTAGATTTTTATATATTTTCTTATACTACTACAGTCGGTGGCTATTATAATTCGCGTTTTCAACAATTTTTACAAATTCAAATAATCTTTCATTCAACATTTTTAATTCCAAAATTGGTTTGACAGTTCATTGTCCCAGCAGCTGTGTCGACGCGTCTACCTATATTCTTCTACCATGATATAACCTATGAATTCTCTTCCTATGAACCTTGTACATTTGACTTTGCTTTTCATATACACACAGAAATGAAAGACGTGTGTAAACTAAGTAGTAATGGTGTTTATAACTAGAGAATTGACGAGGGTTAAACAGCTGTGCGGGTTTTGCTATTGTTCAATAAACACGTGGTTGACTTCAAATAATATACATACAAACGTTTCCACCACCGTCATAAGTAATTTTAAAAGGACATACAACAATAACAAATGAACCAACTAGCGAATTGTCTAAAATTATATTCACGTTCTTGTATTTGCGTGTTTGTTTGAAGCTGTATTGCGTTACGATATTTTCAAACAGTAAGACAATGCACACTCGACTAAAATAATTCCGTTGCGTTTGTTGGGAGTTCAACGGGAAAAACGGTTATATATATCCTAATACGTTGCTTGTGTTACATAAAAGTGTTAAAATAGTCCATACAACTGAATTAATTTATGTACATGTATGAGTAGAGAAATCGGGTGTCAAGGTAAATATCAGAAAATGTTATGTTTTAAGTTTGTAAGTTTAATGTATGTGCTTGATAGAACTACCCTAGAAGTCTAACAAATTCATTTTTGCCATGTATTTACAAGACATGATATTAATAACATCGGTTGCATTGCTTGTGTTCAAAACATAAAATCATATTTCCTTAAACAACCACCAAATATTTTCAATGTAGGTAGGTATATTCATTTTTCAATTCCATCAGTAGCAAACGCTCAAGACAAGATTTGTAATATGCTTGAAAACAGCATTTGAATATATATGCAAGAACAAATTGTTGTTAGAAAAAATTAATTTCAGGTATTTACTTATTGTAATGTCTTTTTGACATATATTTACAAAATTCGTCGTAACTCACTTATCGAAGGGGTTTACAAGACATTACATACATTTTATGAAGTACTATTTTTATACCATCCAACATTCTATGGAGGGTATATTAACTCTGTCATTCCGTTTGTAACTCCTCAAAATATTCATAATAGACCCTACAAAGAATATATATATATATTCTGGATCAGCGTAAAATTCTAAGACGATCTAGCGATGTGCATCACGTAATCATCTCTCGAACGAATTGAGATAGAAGGCTAAAATTTTGCATACATGCATAGTTTACCAGTAGGCAGGTTAAGTTCGTAAATGGGCCATGTAGCCCCCATATAACGGTACTTCCCGATAGTCGGTATTTTGATGATTTCAGCAACATTATTCACCGGAATCGTTTCAAATTTCGTACTGGAAGATCCTAACATCCTTAGACAGAAAATTGTTTGAGCAGGTCCATGTCTTCGTATAGCCCCCATATAACGGTAGCTTCCGATATTCGGTATTTTGACAATTTTAGCGACATTATTCACCGGAATTGTTTCAAATTTGGTATTTGAAGTTTGTTATGTGTACTACAGCCTATGACAATAATTTTTACATCCAGGTCCTCGTCTTCGTATAGCCCTTATATAACGGTACATCCCGATAGTCGGTATGTTGACAATTTTAGTAAAATTATTCCCAGGAATCATTTCAAATTTTGTACTGGAAGATCCTAATAGGTACTTGTTCTTGTTATACCCTCCACCATAGTATGGAGGGTATATTAAGTTTGTCATTCCGTTTGTAACACCTCGAAATATACATTTTAGACCCCACAAAGTATATATATTCTTGATCAGCATAAAATTCTATGTCGATTTATCAATGTCCGTCCGTCTGTCCGTCTGTGGAAATCACTCTAGCTTCCGAACGAAATGAAGTAGGTTGATAAAATTTTACTTAAATGTGTACTATGTCTGTAGGAGTTTTGGTATTGAAAATGGGCCATGTAGATCCACGTCTTCGTATAGCCCCCATATAACGGTACCTCCCGATATGCGGTATTTTAATGATTCTAGCGACATTTTTTACTGGAATTGTTTCAAAATTAATATTTAAAGTTCATAATAGATGCTACGGCTTAACACAGAAAATGGGCAATGTAGGTCTACGTCTTCGTATAGCCCCCATATAACGGTAACCCCCGATATTCTGTATTTTGATGATTTTAGCGACATTATTTACCGGAATTGTTTCAAATTTCGCATTTGAAGTTCGTGAAGTTCGATATTACAGCCTATGACAGAGAATTGCCTGTGCATTATAAACATATTTTTTTTCAAGTTTCGCATTTGAATATTGTAATAGCTTGTGACAAAAGTTGCCTATGCAGGTCCACACTAATATACGGCTACATTAGGTATTTTCAAGATTTTAACAGATTTTTAAGGGATTTTATTTTTTTTTGAAAATTGTTAAATTTGTACCAAATGGTGGGGGGTATTCAAAGTTCGGCCCGGCCGAACTTACAGCTTTTTTACTTGTTTTAAGTTCGTAATGGGCACTACAGCCTATGACAAAAAAAAAAAACGTGTGCATGTCCAAGTCTTCGTATAACGGTTTTCTTCATATAACGGTTTTCATTTAAGTGGTAGTTTTCGGGCTTTTTTTTGAAAAATTTCAATTTACTTCGAAATGGTGGAGGGTATTAAAAGTTCGGCCCGGCCGAACTTAGCTTCTTTTTTACTTGTTAATTTTTGGAATATACATCCGTTTTTTTACCCTTCACCATATTGATATATTTATATCAATTTTTTATAACCTCCACCATTCTATGAAGGGTATTTTTACTCCGTCATTCCGTTTGTAACTCCTCGAAATACTCATGTTAGACCCTATAAAGTACAAATATTCTGTATCAGCGTGAAATTCTTAGTTGATTTATCTACGTCTCGGGCCGTCGGTTTGTTGTAATCACGCAAAACGATATTAAGATAGGAAGCTAAAAGTTTGCACAGATCTTTCTTTTGTCTACAGGCAGCTCAAGTTCGAAGATGGGCTTTATCAATCCATGTTATCGTATATCCCCTATATAATGGCACCTTCCGATATTCAGTATTTTGATAATTTTAGCCACATTTTCCAATGAAGTGGTCTGAAAATCAACACAAGGGGTTTCTTGTGAGTACTTTATCCGGTCAATAATGTCGCTAAAATCATCAAAATACCGAACATAGGGAGGTACCGTTATATGGGGGCTATATGAAAACGTGGACCTACATGACCCATTTACGAACTTAACCATTGAAGTGTCTATTGATATCTAAATTATTACAGTAGTTTTTTAATATTTAAATTACTTTTTAAGATTTATCGGTATGAACTTATATAATTCTTTATATTTATATAAAAATGGTTTAGCGAAAAAATTATTAAAAAAGCCGTTTCATGAAATTTGAAATAATGTTAAAAATTATTAGAATAGTTTATTTTTTCAGAAACTTATAAAATTCTTGCTATTGTCATTTAAGTTTTCTTAAATTAACATTTTAGTAATAATTAGTTATGTATGGGTGAGAGGAGTTCGGGAGGACGCAAAAATAGCAATGTGTCGGTCTTTTTTGATGTGATAGGAGTTCCTTGGACTTTACTGGATAAACGAGGAGTTCTTTGGGATTTAATAGATAAATGAGGAGTGGGCTATTTATGTTGGTTATCGGTGATTTTTTTTTGTTTCTTCTTTTTTGATTTACCGCTTTGAGCCGTTTTTTCGGTATCATTTGTATACCTTTTCCATTTTTGTTTGAACATATTTGTGGTTGTGACCTATATTTTGGATTCCTTTTTCGTTTTAATTTTATTTTTTTGTAAATTTTTATATTTATGACCTATTTGTTTGATTTTTATAGATGTGACCCGTTTTGGGGGTTCCTTTTTATACCCTCCACCATACTATGGAGGGTATATTAACTTTGTCATTCCGTTTGTAACTCCTCGAAATACTCATATCAGACCCAACAAAGTATATATATTCTTGATCAGCGCAAAATTCTAAGTCGATTTAGCGATGTCCGTCTGTCTGTCTGTCTGTCTGTTGTAATCACTCTATCTTTCGAATGAATAGAGATAGGTGGCTAAAATTTTGCACACATGTTTATTTTTCCAGTAGGCAGGTTAAGTTCGTAAATGGGCCATGTAGGTCCACGTTTTCATATAGCCCCCATATAACGGTACCTCCCTATATTCGGTATTTTGATGATTTTAGCGAAATTATTCACGGGAATTGTTTCAAATTTGGTATTTGAAGTTCAAAATGGATACTACACCCTAAGACATAAAATTGTCTGTGCAGGTCCACGTCTTCATATAGCCCCCATATAACGGTACCTCCCTATATTCGGTATTTTGATGATTTTAGCGACATTATTCACCGGAATTGTTTTAAAATTGGTATTTAAAGTTCGTTATGGGAACTACAGTCTGTGACAGAAAATTGTCTGTGCGGGTCCAGGTCTTCGTATAGCCCCCATATAACGGTACCTCCCTATATTCGGTATTTTGATGATTTTAGCTACATAATTCACCGTTTATTTCAAGTTTCGAATTTGAATATGGTAATGGCTTATGACAAACAATGACTATGTATGTCCACGTCGTATAGACCCCAAAATAACGGCTATATTCGGTATTTTTAAAATTTTAACAGAATTTTTTAAGGATTTTATTTTTTGAAAATTTCCAAATTCGTTGCAAATGGTGGAGGGTATTAAAAGTTCGGCCCGGCCGAACTTACTGCTTTTTAACTTGTTGTATTTAAAATATTCATATTAGTGACTCTTATTTTGGGTTTCTTTTTAGTTTGATTTTTTATGAGAAGTAAAATTGTTATACTTGTGACACATATTTTGGTTCCCTTTTTATATTTTTACAAAGTAACATTTTAATATTTGATTTTGTGTTTAGCGATCATTTTTGGAATGCAGGTGTGAAGGCTCATGTTTGTCGCTTTTAGCCATTTCTATAGCCTACTCATGGCAAGAGTACCTTCACCGTCAATTAAAGCCATCTCGGACAAATGAGTTAACTGAGTTAAATTGAACAAACATGATGATTATAAATGAACAATTCATCGAGCGAGTTTTGTTGTTTCGGGCATTCCTTGTTTGTGTAGTAAAAGAGCATTTTTATCATTGTGTATCATGTGCGTTCTCTAAAATTTACCATCTCTGGGTAATTTATTCTAGCAGTTCCATCAAGAAAAACATCAGCGCATTTTCGTTTTGTAACAGAACGTATGGTATTATTATGCCTATACACTGTTATATCTACACGTTCCATAGGTTTTCATCTAGGAACTTCTCTACTAAGACACCGATATATTTCAGTTAATGTGGAATGCAACCTCTCTATTTGACCATTCATTTTACTACACTGCGTCGGCTTTTGTTAAATTTTAGTCGCTAATGGTCTAATGTAATTTGACAATTGTTGTGTCAAAAATCTACGTTCGTTGTCTATGACCGAAATGCGTGGAACGGTAAAATAATGAAGAACAATTGTTAGTTTCATTTTAAATGTGACTTGTTTTTTATAGAGAACTAGATGAACCCGGCGCGCTTCGCTTCTCCTTTCGCTTTTATATGCATTCAAAATTTTATATATAAATAT